AATAAAATGATTAAGAAAAACAGCCCTAAGAACAACTGACTATGATATGTAAGCAGAGGCAACAAGTGAGGGAACCAACACCCTGTTGGGTAGCAGATTTGGGGATATAGAATTATTTTTATTTTTTAAAGTAGCAGCTATTTCAAAAATTTTCATAGCACATTGCATCTTAGGAGAAAATCACTGATAATATTATGAAAAAAAAATCACTGACAACACATGGACTCATTTCCTGAGAAGAGATCAACTCCTTCACAAGCGCTTGGTGGATGGCAGCTACAGATGGCAGCTACCGAAGAGTTGCCAAATTTGGCGATTTCTCAGTTTTGTTTTCATCTCTTCTGTTAAATAAGAGAGGCTGTTCTCTACCTAGAAACTCTAAGTCCCATTTTCTTTGGGCCCAAGGCTCTCCCAGCCATCGCACTAGTATTTCCAGTCTCGCCCTACCGAGCAGCCCACAAGTCTCAGTTCCCCAGAGCTCTTATCTGAAACGGCTGCCACTCAGTGTTTCTGTCCAAGGCAGCGATCACCTGCAAGGCCACTCAGGAGGCCATCAGCCCATCAGGGTAGCGTCCACAGACAACACGCTTCAGAGTCCACACCTTTTGTTTTTTTAGGTTAGCACATTTTATGGAGATGTGAGTGAACGTTCACTGAACAAATTAGCCAAAAACGTGTCTCAGGAAGAGATGGAACACCAACTGAAATGTTTCAGCAAACTGATTGTGTTAGTCTGGGTAGACTCGAGAAACAAACCCACGGACACTCGCGTGTGTTAGAAAGAAGTTTATGTACAAGAGCAACTGTACACTCAGAAAACACACTAGCCCAGTCCGGAGCAAGTCCATCAGTCCAATATTAGCCCATATATCCTAGACCAATCTATGAAGTCCTCTTCAGACTCACGAAACACATGCAATGACGCCGAATGCAGGACGATCACAAGCCAGTGGGTGCAAAGTAAGTGGCGGTACAAGCATCTCAGCGCTGGCAGGGGTCTCCCTGTGGCTCCTCCAGTTTCCAGGGCTGCATCAACGTAAGTCAATGTGGCTTCTCCTCAGGGATGTCTCACAGGAAGTGAGTTGAGAGTCTCCCCAGCTTCCCAGGAGGAAATTCTGGATTTCCCAGAATTCTCAGGAGAAGGCCATGCCCACACAGAAGCCTCATTGTCTATGACCTGATTGATAGGCTAGACTCTACTCCTTCACTCTTAACCCTCTCAAAACCCCAAATGACTCCAGATTATATAACTACCACACTGATGAAACACTGTAAGCACCTATTTGTTAATGCCAGGGAATTTGGAAGACAACTAGTTGGCCAACGGATGGGAAAATACCCATTTGTGCCCCTTCAAAGAAAGGTGACCTAACAGAATGCTCGAATTATAGAACACCACTGGCATCGCATTCAAGTACAATTTTGCTTCACATCATCCAGTAACGGTTGCAGCAGTGCATTGACAGGGAACTGCCAGAGGTTCAGGCCGAGTCAGAGGAGGACGTGGAACGAGGCCTATGACTGCTGACGCCGGAGGGGTTTTGGTTCAAAGCAGAGAATACCAGAGAGATGTGTGGTTGTGTTTCACTGACTGTGCCAATGCATTGTGTGGATCATAACAGACTGTGGACAACCCTGAGAAGCATGGGAATTCCAGAACACTTTACTGTGCTCATGCAGACCTTGTACCTGGTTCAAGAGGCCGTTGTGTGAGCAGAACCAGGGAATACTGCATGGTCTCAAGTCAGGAAAGGTGTGTGGCAGGGTTGCATCCTCTCACCCAATCTGCATGCTGAGCAAATGAGCAGAGAAGCTGGAATGCAGCATCAGGATTGGAGGAAGGCTTATTAACAACCTGCGATACGCGGATGACAGGACCTTTCTTGCGGAAAGCGAGGAGGACTGGAAGCATTTGCTGTCGACGATCACGGATTGCAGTCTTCATTACAGATTACCACTCAACGTACTGAAGACCCAAACCCTCACAACTGGACCAATAGGAACATCACAGTAAGTGGAGAAAACGTTCAAATTGTCAGGGATTTTGTCTTGCTTGGATCCATAATCAATGCTCCTGGAAGGAGCAGTCAAGAGATCAAAAGACACACTGCACTGGGTAAATCTGCTGCACTCTTCAGAGTATGGAAAAGCAAGGATGTTACTTTGAGCACTACGGTCTGCCTGACCCACGCTATAGTACTGGCCATTGTTTCATGTGCATGTGCAAGTTGGGACTTTGACTAAGGCAGACAGAAAGAGAATTGGTGCGCTTGAATTGTGTGGTGCTGGAGAACAATACTGACTGCCCCATGGACTGGTCAAAGGCCAAACCGGTCTGTAGTGGAAGAAGTAAGGTCAGAGTGTTTCCTAAAGCAAGGATGGTGAGACTGTCTTACATACTTTGGGCATGTGAAAGGCATCATGTTTAGCAACGCAGAGGGGCAGTGAGAAAGAGGAAGGCACTCAAGGAGAAGGATCAAAACTGTGCCTGCAAAACTGGGCTCAGGCTTAGGAGCAAGGGTGAGGGTGGTGCAAGACGGGGTGGTGTTTCGTCCTGTCGCGTACGGTTGCTATGGGTTGGAACTGATTTAATGTCAAACAACAACTCATTTTGTTTCAAGACGTTAGCTGTCATCCACTCAACGTCATAACATTCTGCCTCCTCCCTCCCTGGTTCTCTGTTTTGATTCGTCCTTCTTTCCCGTCCCTGCCAGCCTTCTGAACGTTGTCTGGGGGCACATGCTGCCCTTTCGGTGCTCTCTGGTTGATCTGAGGGGTACGCTCGTTAGGGCGTCTTTGGTCACGTTGCAGGCATGTCTGGGGCTCCGAAAGGTGATCGCGGGGTGAGTTCAGCTCTAGGTTGAAAGGCTTTGTCTAAGGGCCGTATCTTGGGGATGCTGAATTTTGTTCTCTGATTGCCTCCCACTCTGTCTAGGACCTTCTACTGCGACCACCATCAGGGCAGTAGAAGCCGGGCACTTCCTGGCTCTTCTCGTCCCAGGCTGGTGGAGGCTCGGGTTCACGTGGGCTTTTCTCCCTGGAGACTAATCGTTTCCTCACTCGTTGGGTTTCTTCATTTTCCTTTGCTCCAGGCAGGGAGCCGCAGCCCACAGTGGCATCCCAGAGGGCCACCTGCCAGCTTTCAAGAACCCAAGCGCGACTCACC